TCACTCACCCACCCACTCACTCACCACTCACTCACTCACCACTCACTCAATCACCACTCACTCACTCACTCACTCACTCACCACTCACTCACTCACCACTCACTGACTCAATCACTCACTCACTCACTCACCACTCACTGACTCACTCACTCACTCACTCACTCACTCATCACTCACTCACTCACTCACTCACTCACTCATCACTCACTCACTCACTCACTCACTCAGTCACTCACGCCCTCACTCGCCCTATAAATTTATCATAATTGTCAGTTTTTGTTTGTGTCAGTAAAGTAAAATGATAAATCAAAATTATATTTCTATACAGTGCAATGAACTTAATATTATCAGCAGTTTCAAATTTGAATGGTTTTTGCATCATTTTGATATATCCATAGTCATACCGCAGTAATCACTGAACTCGAATGGCAATTCTCGCACTCAAAACGGTTCGAACCGATTTGTACGATAATCGTATGAACTTGAAAAAATGTCATACGAGATCGTGTTTAGACAAGTCGAAAACTCGTAAGCAAGAATCTCCGTACTACATATTTCTCCGTGTAAACAGTCCAGGAGGCGATTAAGTTGCTTGCGAATCTCGTATGACATAATCGTAGGCGAGATTTTAGTTCTTGCCTGAATGTAAACATTATGATACGATAATCTTATGGCGATTATTGCTTACGATAATCGCCTACGAGTTTTCGTCACGAAGCGTGCGAGAAACTCTCCCCATCTAAATGGGCCTTAAGTCTTGGTATTTTCTTGGTATTTTATTTATATTTAGAGGTTCTCAATTCGGCTGTATTTTTTTGCGTGTATGTTACGCGATATCTACGGCATTTGTACACTGATCTTGATGATTCTTTTTTGTTGGAAAGAACCCTCTTTCCAACAAAAAATAATCATCAAAATCGGTATTCCGGACGGTATCGGTATTCTCGGACCTAAGTATTGATAGCATTTAAATTTGAAGAAAATATTCCACCTCTAAGGGTGGCAAACAAGGGGATGAATCCGGTGTCGCGCAATTTCCGGTAACCGAGTTGAATAATACTTGGCAAACAGATGTAATTCCACGAACTTTTGAGGTCAGTTTCTTTTTATAAAAAAGTTATATTTAAAATAACTTTTTAAGGACATCCCCATTTTGATGGAGAAAATAAGTAAGCAAAACTGTTTGGTTCTATTTATCTTTTACCAAAAAGTTGCATGTACGTAAGACCGTTTTTGTAATCATCTGTTTCTGTTCTGATTATTTCTTATATAATTTACTAAATTGGCTTAAAAGTACATACATATCTGTATGAACTAAAAGATGTATCATTTTTATCTATATCAAATACGCGAAATCAATAACGTTTCGGTTTTAATCTTATCAACATTTGCACTTTATTTTACGTTCGGAGACGTGGATAGATCGTAACATTTTACCGGATTCGCTGATTCACACTATTTTACGACATACAAAATATGCTGAACCTGTTATTTACGAATGTTGTAAAAAATGAAAACCATAGATCAGCTGCAGGTTATATTTCTGATTTAGAAGAAAAATAGTAGCCTTAGAGCTCCTTGTGAAGGGTTCATCCAGGAAAGTACTGCCACCTTGCCTATTTCTGTCGCCAAACAGTAATGTGAGCATTACTGTGTTCCGGTTTTGAAGGGTACGGATGCTGGTGAAATTGGAAGCACATGAGACTCGTCAATTTGTAAACTTGTTAACCATACGCTTTATAATAAAGTCCAAAATTGGACGTAGTTAAACAAAATGGATCCAATGCACATCCAGTCACTTTCGCGATATGGCAGTTCAAAATGTCAAAGTGTTTTACTTTGTGTGTTACTCTTGTTTTATTTTCAAAACTTATAATGTCATGTAACTCCTGAGATGGGTACATATAACTCATTTTTTGATAATTTTATAGATTGGCTCCTCGTATGTAAGTAGTTACCAATGAAGAAAAGGTCCCAAGAAAAATACTTTTTTAACCTAAACATTACATTGCAAATTCAATATTTTAAAACTATTCGAAATCATCTCATTGGCTGCCAGTCAGCTTAGTGGCTTACTAAAGCAACTTAATAACAATAGTGCTAAAGAAAACGATGAGAAAAATGCGTATATTGAAATAGTTTTTACATATATTTCAAAAATCAAATCACCCATTCGCACATAACACTTTGCTTCCTCATTCCTAATGCGTGTAAAAGAATAGAATACACTGCCGACATCTGTGTTTTCTGAAAGCTATAATTTAGGGCTATTCAAGGCTAGAGTTAATAGACAACAAGTAGACAAAAACGTAACACCGTCGGCCACATCAACTAAGACTGTGGCCAAGCGTTCGTCTATTTCACATTAATTTATGCAAATAATTTGCCATACAGCTTGGTTAAATGGAAGTGTAAATTTATTTACCGATGACACGGACCCGTGTCGGGGTAAAAGGAAATATGAAACTGAAGCAAAACAAAATTATGACGTAATCGGCTTGCTAGACTGACAAGGTTAGGCAATATTTGAATCACATATCGACTGTGAACTGGCAACCGGTACTATCTCAGTTTAACAACTTTACAAGATGAAGAAAAAACCATTTATATAGCATCGGGTTTATTAAATAAAAGTGCGTTGTGTACATACATACAATAGTATGTGGAAAACGATTGATCTATTAGAACACTTGCTTTAAAAACACTACTTTCCTAATCTATGGCAACAGGTCACACACACGCGCGCGCTCGCGCACACACACACACACACACACAAAGACACACACACACATACACACACACACACACAGAGAGAGAGAGAGAGAGAGAGAGAGAGAGAGACAAAGACACACACACACGCTCACACAGAGAGAGATAGACACACACACACACACACACAGACAGACATACACAGATACACTCACACAGACACACACACACACACACAGACACACGCACACACAGGGTCACACACACTCACATACACACACACAAATTAAGTATGAGTTAAAAATGTTAAATATTCATTTATAGCTACGGAAGAGCAGTGCCTCCTGACACAGGCTTGATAAGCTTAATAGAAGGTACCATCCACTGTTAATGTAAAGTTAATTGTATTACTGAAATACACATTTAATTATTTATTTTATTTATTATACATGTGTAATAGCAATATTTACAAACTACGTATTTTTATTTTATAAACCAGATGCTATATACATAAATGATGCAAACAAGTTTTTTCTTCGTATCATCATATCACAGTCGATATGTCAAATACAAATACAATGTCGTTGAGGCAATAGTCGCGGCTAAGAAATGTTTCTAAATGTTTGTTAAATCTTTATATTAATAATGATAACAAACTAGTCAAATATTTCCACAAAAAATATATGAATGTAGTGGTATAATATCTAATATCGTGATAAAATAAATACAAATACGTATTTTTTATTTGTATTTATAATTACTACGTAAAAGTGTATGTTGTAGTTGATGTTTTAAGCACTTTCGTAGTGTCCATTTTCGAGTAATAAATGGATTTTATATTATTTTCAATACAGCTCATGAAAGTATTTTTTAAATTATATTTTAATTAAGACTTAACACGTATTTTGCCCAGCCCTATTTACTGGTAATATTGTACTAATAAATGGCAGCAAGCGAATATTGAAGCACTAAAAATCAGCACTAACATTTTTGTCGTGTCCACATTATTTAGTTGTTTTTCTTACTAGACTGCCATTATTATGATTTCTGTGTTTTCTAGAAAAATGAATATCTTTTCATTTATTTATTTTATTTAAATAAAGACAAATAACTTTTCCATCGCATATTGTTCGGACTTGGAGCACACCTAGCAGCAGTAGCTCCTTATGAAAGAGTTCGTCCAGGGAAGTACTACCACCTGTTTCTGCTGCCAAGCAGTAATGTAAGCATCTTGTCAACTTATGTCTCGGGGTGACGGGCGCAGTGGCATTGCCCCTCAGATCTTTGCGATTTAAAGCACTGAGTGGCCATGCAACTGTTATGGGCAGGCGTGTGCTTACTGTCAGGCGCACGACTTGTTCGTCCCGTCACTTGCTAATATAAAAAACGCACAAAACTTTGTGGCCGTAAAGGAAACTTTTGAAATTGACCAATTACATTAATTTAAATAAATTGGAGCAATCACATTGCTTACCTAAGCCGTGACATGTGACAACTTTTCTACAGGCTTTTATTATGTATTTTATTATACACCATAGCAATTAATACAATCTTTTGATTTATAATTCATAATTCATTTATTCATTGCGTCATGTGTTACATAAAGGTGTTAAAATGTAAATTTATGACATTTGTTCACATGAACCCTGTAAGGGCATTACAATGACTTATTATCTAATGTGTGTCTTCTAAATCAATAAAGAATATATAATAATTTAAACATATTAAACAGGGGTATGTTAGGTTAAATTATTAGTAAAAAATTAAATTTTATAGATTTAAATGTTGTCAATAAAAAGGTAATAAAGAAGAAAATAAATTAAAATTATCGAGAATTATGTTGCCATTTTTAAATTAATTTTGTTATTATTAACTTATGTTGTAAGTATTTTGTCATTTAGAAATTCGTCAATTGTATAATAAGTTTTATGTATTAGTAGATTTTTTAGGTTTTTTGTAAAAGATGTCGTGTTCTGTTCTAATTTGATATTTTCGGGTATTTTATGAAATATTTTGATGGACATGGCTCGGGGACCGGATCTATACATTTCCATTTTGGAGTCTGGCATAATCAGTTTGTTTGGGTGTCTTGTGGGGAAGCGACTTAATAGTTCCCCCCTTTTTTTTGTAAAACTGCGGATACTTTCTCGCAAATTTAGCCGCTTCTAGGATGTATATCGATGGCAGTGTTAGAATATATTATTTATAATGATAATTATATTATTTATTTAAACACTTTATTGTACCACAAACTAATAATAATTGTCATATTAATAATTGTCCTTTTCACAGGATAGAGCCGAATTCCATGGAGTCGATATTGTGCGAAGCGATCAAACTGGAGTTCGAAGCGTATACCTCTGTCAACCATTGCAGCGGTTCTTCGAGGGAACTCAATGAGGTTGGTTATACCACATTTCAAATACATGTTCACCGTTAAATGATTCCTATAATAGACGATGTCACCTAACCAGTCTGTATCTCAAGTGGATTGCTAATCCCCATACTCTAGACCGTAACTCCGGAAAAAGTCAAAATTCCGTCTTATATCGCTAGATGGCGCTGATAAATAGCCTGGAAGTAGTTTATATATGTAAATGGCTGTGGATATCAAGTAATTCCTCTTTTATATGAAATATACGAAGTCAGTTTTTTTTTCTTGTAATATTATTCAAATACTGATCATGAATTAAAAATATTTTCTGAACTTTGACAAATATGCGTATCAATAGATGGCATTGTGTGTTACAAACCAATTTATAAATTAACGCTTCCTAATACGGGCAGATGGCGCTAATCCTAAACAAAATAGTCGGCAGTATCCATAAAAACCTGTACATAAGCGCCATCTAGTTGATTTGTTTATTGTCACTATAAATTAGGGTAGCTTTGATAAATTGCAGCTGGTCAGTTTAAAAAAATTACTTATAAAAATAGTTATTTGGTACTAGTCGCGACATCTGATGCACCAATGGGAACTACTTATCCGACTACGCTGTCTTATCTTGAATTATTGGTCAATGAAATTATTAATACCGAGTAGCTGAAGTATTTTTACTTGTTTTGAGAGCAAATTCGTAAAGGTAAACTAAAAACTAATCTTTTTTTTATTAATAAATTTTAAACCGGCTTTGAAAAAAGGTGGTTCTCAATTGGTCTGTATTTTTTTTGTGCATGCTACGCGACTACTCCCATACGTGTGAGCCGATTTCGATTGATCTTTTTTGTTGGAAATTTGAACGGAACCACTAACCCCGTAATAATTCCGTTCAAATTTGCAGAAAGTATTACAGCTCTGAGGATGGCAAATTAGGGGATGATCCGGTCTTATAATTTCAATTAGGATTTCAATAAAACTTGACGCATGACGGATGTAATTCCAATGAAAATAAAACAACGAAAATTGTAGGCTTTTTGTATGTAAAAGTAAACGGAAATACTGCACTGTTTTATTAGGACGACTCTGTAAAAAGAACTGTATGTATAAAATAAATAAATATTTGATTGATAGATGACTAGTTTCATTGTAATTATTTGGGAAAACAAATTTATACAGATTTCGAATTCTTAGGGAAGATTTTTTTATAATATCAAGTGACTAGACAAACAAGTCGTGCGCCTGGTGGTGCTACACGCGCATGAACAATTACAGGCACATGAAACTTGTGAACTTATGTATAAGGGTGACAGGCGCAGTGGCATTGTCCCTCTGTAATTTTTGCAATTTAAAGCACTGAGTGGCACTGCAACTGCTGTGGGCAGGCGTGTCGAAGCTGAAACTATTTAGTTTTCCATATAACAAATAAAATTAAAGATATGATATTTTTTTTTCTTAAAAAAATTACTTTAAATCGCTATGCTATAATATTCTCTTAAAACGTTACTCGTTTTTTTACCTTTCCAGCATCGAAATACATAGGGCGTACTATAAGTTTCCGGAACTGGCCACTTACGTAAACGATATTTAAAAAGTAATTACAACATTTGAAAATGGAACTCTTTGGCCGTAGAATACAGTTTGTTTCAACTGACTGTCACTTGTTTTTACATTGTGGCTTCATTTTAGAAATTGGTTGTCTACATCACCTTGGATTTAACTCATACAAATTTTCGTAGTATGATTTTCTACGACAATAAGTGTAATATAACAGCTCAGCGGAGCTTCGCTCGGCTTCAAACTGTGAACAACAAAAACATCGATGCTGTGCGCCGTATGATCAAAACAGACAGGCATGAGACATACCATGAGATTCAGGCATCGCGCGTGCAAAGTGCCTCTAAGCGGATGATTGCTCCTTTTTTTAATAAAACTGGACGTGGCTACTGTTGCTTTGGAGAATCGTTGTACCGTGAACAGTACACGACCATTTGTTTGCCGAATTTGTTTGAAATTATTGACAAACTCCGTAAAAATAAACCGTAAACGCCGTATCATCTAGCACCACGAAGGTGAAGGTTATGAGCCATCCCGCGTACAGTCCCGATCTGGCACCTTGTGACTTTTATTTATTTCCTAAAATTAAGAACCAGTTGCGCGGTCAACTATTTTCATCACCTGAAGAGGCTGTCGAAGAATATGAAAAATATGTTTCAGAGATTGTCACGGAAAAGTGGCAAAAATGTTTTCAAAATTGGTTCATTCGTATAAAAAAGTGCATTAACGGTAACGGAGAATATTTTGAGAAACAATAAGTTCATTTCTGACATGTATAGTATTTTTTTCTTATTCATTCCGGAAACTTATTATGCGCCTCACGTATATGCGATTTAAATCCGAAAAAATAGTTTCATTGCCTTATTCTGATGTACTAAGCGCGTCTTTAAGCTAACTTACACTATTTCATAATTACATTGCTAACACCAGCCCATGCCTTAATGTAATGGCTCCTTCGGTGACCGCTACACTACTGAATATGCCAACATTCTAGAAACAAATAATTCTAGGTGGAGCGCGCGAAATTAAACGAACTCATCGTAGCCAACAAAGCCTTGCACGACCCTATAGAGGACGACGTGTCCCAGCTCATCGGGGACAACGCCACAGCCAACCTGAGAGTGAGATCACTTAAATAAATTTTACGTTTATTACCTCCGATCATTGACTTACAATTATATGGACGTCGGGTCCGCGCTAAAAAGTGTCCGAACTTATAGGGCGTTAAAATCGTATACAGAGCGTCATTCACGCTTTAGTCTTCGTTTGTTCGACTGACAGCGAAGCAAGCAAAATTAGACAGTACTGCGATGACATTACAATTTAAATTCAACGTTTTAGCTTTTTCATATTCCTTTACATGTCACTACGTTTAAATAGGTTGACTTGGGTCATTTTTTCCGTAGTTTTTGTATTAGACCCGTCGTCCATTTATTTGTAAGTCAATGCCTCCGATGATTAGTTTCTTAAAACTATTAGTGTCAAAATAATAAATTAACTTTCAAGACACTAAGGGTGTCACCACATTTGTCTACGCGTATTCGCATTAAGCCGATCAGAAATATATGTACATATAGTATGTCCGTGTAGGTAATAAGTACGAAAAAACCTTACGCGTTTCTATAGTCGCACCCCTCATAGGAGAATGGCATAAGTGGAGATACGTCAAACACGTTTATTGCTCCATTAGATACAGAAAAATATACCATACATCCTCTCCAATTCTTGTAACTCAATCGGCTAATATTGTTGGAGAATTCTGTATCTAATGGAGCAATAAATATTTTTGACGTAACTCCACTTATGCCATTCTTTCGTAAAGGGTGCAATATAGTGATTTATAATTCAAAAAAGTTCGTTACAAAATTTGGTTCCACCTAAAATCGAACACGGTACTGGAGTTCTTAACCACTAAGTCATGACGTTTTTTACCACAGGAGGGCGGCGGCAAGCACGATCCACGGCTAGTGACAATCGTGAACTTAACGGCCGTGGCCATCCGCCGTTTCATCAAGATGGCCAAGAAGATCAGTGCCTTCAAGAACATGTGCGAAGAGGACCAGGTATAAAACAAAAAGCACTTTATTTCGTAAAATTTAGAACATATAATATTTTGTTCTGTTTTACCGTGTTCTTAAACAATGACCGTTGTAACTTAACTAGTTATGTAATATCTAGAATGTGAAAGAGAATATGGAAATGCATGATAGTAGTAACGGCTCAAAATAGTGCATAGGATTCTGTGGAAGATCTACCTTGACGTACACAACGTTCCTTTACTGACAGTAAACAAGATGATGCCAGTAAAGGGAGTAAAAGAGATATGTTAGCGTGATAAGTGGAAGTCCGTAGCTTCTGAACGCCAGATTGGGTCAAGCGCTATCGTAAGTAGTAACACAGAATTCTCTTGTCGTTAATAACAGCTATGATCGTGTTGTTTCCAGGTGGCATTGCTAAAAGGCGGTTGCATAGAAATGATGGTGCTAAGAAGTACGATGACGTACGACGGACAACGAAAACAATGGAAGGTAATATAAACAAATTCTTTAAATGAACTTTATACAGTACATTTTAAAATTATGGTGATCTCTTACAGCTTTCTCATAAAACTTATGCTTCACCACAAATAAAATAAATGACAAAAATGAATCGTTCTGCAAGATAACAAAAAACTAATTACGGTTTCGTGTTTCTGAGAACACACCAATTTGTCATAATTTAGGGACTCACCACACTTATCGGTACGGAATGGCATTAAACCGATCAGAAAAATCTTTATGTCCGTAGTAATGGCGCGATTTAGGTCGTGGGTAACCTAAAAGACTGTCACCATGCGGGGGAAAGCAAACGATGCCTTTCTTCGATTTGCGGATGTGGTTGATTGGAACAAAATGCAAATCGGTCAGTTGGGAGCACAATACCTTTGAATGAAACCAGTCTTGTGGCAGTTCGCGAATGTTAGGAGATCTCGGCTCCTTACCTCACCCAGGAAGCGATTCTTGATGTTGCAAGTTCACGAAAGCGTATGTTCACTATTGCTCACTAAAGTTTTCAGTTTACTGCAGTTTCACTATGATATTTTCACAAAAAATTAGCGGAGGCGGTTGCGCAGCCGTTTGCATTCGTTGGCGAGATTTCAACTCAAACGGAAGCAAGATTTTTCTCTCCGTCCGTTAGGTGTCACTAGTTGGGTGACGTTGGCGAGTAAAGACTCGCACGCAAAAGCGAGCATACCTTTGTACACATACACATACAGGAAAGTGATGGAACAAGGAAACAATTATTCATCTAATTAAACCATTTCCATTTCAATTATTAAATTGTCCAAATTTTGCGAGGTAAAATCAAAAGCGCAACCACTAGAATAAGATCGAAAAAGACGTGCGTATCACGTCGGCCCGAGCGAAAGCAACGTCTTTTACACTCTTATTGCATGGACATCAAGTTTTTTCTGACCGGCTTAAGCCGATTAAGCGTTAACAGATGTAGTGACTTCCCAATGTCACTTTTAAAAATAATGGTGCCATTTTTATTGTATAGTCATGCGTTTTGAACGAATTCATATTTGAAATTTTTTAAGTTTTTTTTTTATTAAATGTCACGTGTCATGACATATTTGACCACATTATTTTTGTAAAATTACTCCACTAGTTTGTTACAATTAGATCGAACACTTAGAAAAAAATCCTTCAATCCGGCTGGATTCGAACCGACGTCTTCCAGCCAAACGTGCCAGACGCTATGCCAATTGCAAGGAATTTTTCTATGTGCTTGTTGCAGATCTTGGTTTTTGGTTTTTAATAAATATTTTTTCGTAGCTAACGGCATTGAATGCCAAATATGGCACAACTGTGTCATATTTTTTAATGTCTTTTGCCAATTTCCCAAAAATGAAGGAGCTATAGTATTTAGAATACTAGAAACACATGGCAATCGTAATACGAGTGCATTTCTATTTCCAGATTCCGCACAGCCAAGAGCAGTTCCGCGAAATAAACACCGACGTCCTGAAGCTAGCGAAAGGCAACATCTACCATTCGTTCACGCACTTCATCAGCTCGTTCGAGGCGCGTTGGCGATGCGACGAGCACGTCATTTTGATCATGAGCGCCATCCTGCTGTTCAGCCCCGACCGGTCCAAGGTCGTGCACCGGGACGTCATCAAGCTCGAACAGGTACCTGCTCCCCTCTCCCCCTGCACCTCGATATTTGGTCATTTACATCCGAGACGAAAAACAGAGGAAAAATTGTTTTTCATCGCACTTGCTCGTAAATGGTATGATTGCATGGTGGCTAATGTGACTATAATGCTCCAAAACCCACGGGCGTTTTTTTTCCATTACAGTCATGGTCGGTACGGAGCTTTCTTTTTAATTTGTAGCACGACATACTTCCTTAAATAAGTCGGATTCAAGTACAAGTAAGGAGGTTACTTAAGTTCAAACTTAAATCATTCGCTTAAAAGTTATCTAAAAAGAAATTTCATTGCAATTCAGCCACATGCTACTTAAATACTTATTATTAAAAATTTCTTGTAATTGATTTTAATTTATTTTCTGTATAAAAATGTAGCATTGTTTTTTATAATTCCTCATGGCTGTATGCGTGCTTTTTACACCATTTTTAGTATTATCTATGGAAGAATTTAAAAAAAAACAAGGCACGCCATTTGCCGAATCCATAATTGTTGTGTTGTGAACCATATTTATATTGTATTTATTTCCCCGCAAATCTGATGAAAAATATTATATGTATCACGGACGGTAAAAAATAAAAAACTCGAGTTTTTAAAGCCCTCAGCCTTTGGCTTCAGGCTTCTCGTTAGTACTTTCTTATTTACCGTTCTAATACACAATTTACTATTACAGCTTTTTCGTAAGGCTACCTGCTTACAGTAACCAATATTCTTAAGAAAGGGGAATTCATACTTACATGGCGTATGGATGTGAATTTACGAACGTTTGTACGTTTCCGAGCA